ATGTTCTCCCTCATATGTGGATCCTAGTACCAAATTCTTTTAAATTCCAGGTCCTTTTAATAAGATGATGCTATACAGCAGCCCCTTCTGCATCAAAAAACTACCATCAACAGGACTTCAGCTGAGCCTGATCACTAAACTTAGTCACAATTGGGCTTGTTGATGGTTGTGCTCTTTCATTAAAGGAGGCCAAGCAGGGTCATTGGACCCTCACTAGATTATCCAGCCACTCTTCCCAGGCAAATGTATGTAACTTGGCCCTTATCATACATGGCCTCCTGGATTTGGAGAGGGCTAAAATATACAATCTGGGGAAGGCTAGGAAGTGAAGGCATGACCCATGCTGGATAAAGGCTTTCCAGTGTGCATACCCTCAAGTCATACATATACCTGAGCAACCCCACATGTTATCTTGGTAAGTAATCTCAATAAATTCATGGGTTTTCCCAGTAAAACTTTAATGAAACATTGGCTTGACCATAGAACATTAAAAGGGAATAAGCATTGCTTATCATCACCAGGAAAAGAAGTCTCACAACAGATGTAAAATTATTTGTTACTGCTATTAGCTGGCATGGAGCTCACTACGTAGATCAGACTGGCCTTGATCTCACAGAAATTTGCCTATCTCTGCCTCCCGAATGCTAGGACTAAAGACTTTTACCACCATATCCAGCTAAACTAAGCTTTACAATTAAAATAATTGAGCGAGGTGTGATGGCCTACACCAGGTAGATCTCTGTGAGTTTAGGCCAGCCTGGTGGGTAGAGGGAGTTCCAGACCAGCCATGGCTAAATAGTGAGACTCTGTCTCAATAAACGAAAAATATTAACTGAGGCTAAACAAAAGTTCTATTTCCCCTTTAAGGAAAAGATGTAAAATGGAGATCTTGAAAGGCCAGGGAAACAGTTACAGAAGTCAGTCTCCGAACTCTGGCTGGCAAAGAACACACAGAAATAAGCTCATATTCACTCCTTCTACCTTTGAATTTCTGGTACTGAGTGTTTTTGACAATGCAAGCCTTATTGTCCACATTCCCAATAGACAATAATTCCCTCAGTACAGGTGCTGACAGTTCAAATACTTAAATATCAGTCAGAGTCCAAGGTTAGAGAGACCAGTTCTACTACTTAGTAGCTCAATGTTCAGCCAAATCTACCATTTGAAACTTTTTCCATCTGAAAAGTAGAAAATGATAGGTAAAGTAGGTGATGGATGAATCCGGTTGACTGGAAGAAAACACCAGGACACAGATAAAACTCCATCGGAATAGAATTTATTAGCAAAGGAACACATGGGGCAGATTCCCTCTGGGCAGGGAAAATGGTTGCTTGGGTTGTGAGCTGGGGTATTTTATAGGGGGAGGCCTTTGGGGGGCGTTCAGAAGGTGTGAAGATATATTTTTTTTAAAGTTAGGAGGGGGGAAGCGGGACTATTAAAACCTGCTCCCTTCCGTCTGTCAACTAGGAGCTGGGTCAGGAAGTGTTTGTTTTTGTCCTCTTAAGGGAAAAACTGCTGTGCTGAAGCAGCTCCTGAAGTCTCTGGTTAAAAGTGGAATTTGTTTATTTTGTCTTTGGAGACAAAACGGAAAAGCAAGCTGCCTTTTAGAAGAGTCTGCTTCTCTTGACTTTAAAGACTAGGGTGCTTATCAACTGGGTTCTCTTTTCTCAGGGGGCTTGCTTGGGAGGTCCATGAGGCCCTGTTGATGAGGAGGCAGGGCTACCTGAACCTTAACAGAAAGCTGCCTGTTTCCCAGGACTTTTGTGCAGATCAACTCACATAATATAAATATGGAACTTAGTACAATGCCTGATTTCAGAAAATAACAATGCAGGCCACATTCATAAACATTTGTTTGGTGTGTTGATTTAGAAAGGCTTTAAGAAAACATTTGCCATTGTTTGCTATACAAACCAGTAGAGCTAAAAGCTTTGAGTGCATAAAAAACAAACAAAAACCAAATAACTAAACAAAACAAAACAACAAAAAAAGATTAAATTTGATTACAAGGTTAAGTCCAGAAATGCCATTCACAGTACCCCCCCCATTCCTTTTTTTAAATAAAAGCAGCAGCATGTTCTTACTTGCAGCAGAAGGTATTCCCAGAAGTCATTCCTAAAACATTGAAGTCAGTTCAGGGAACCATTTCCCATAAATATGTTTTTATAGTCAAGTGCCACCAGTGGAAGGTGAATATATATGTATGTAGGATAATGAGAGAGGTAGACATTTTCTTGAGCCATGATACCCAGTCTAGTAACGCTTTTCAAAATAACTATAAAACTTTGCTAACATAACAAAAAGTAAGTGTAAATCATGAAAATTTCATGGAAAACTTTATGGTTTGCTAGAATAATTAAATATACAGCACAGATATTCTAATAAAATTTCTGATTGCAAGGTAAATTACATGAATAATAAAGACAAATATTTTACATTTGAAGACACTGGTAAATAAAGCAAGGGGACTTTGTCATGAAAATTGATTTTTTTTCCACATTTGTAATAGGTTCCATAGCATCTTCCGTACATGGATGGAAAGAATTCACCTTCACATAGAAGTAATGCTATCCTGGATTACAGGAATTAGGTTGACAGACACACGTAGACCACTTCTGTATTTACTTTTCCTGGGAAGAAGCAAAACACAGCAGACAGGAAACCAAAGATAGAACAAGTCATGATTCCATCACAGTCCAACTTGGGAAGCCAGTGAATTTATTGGAATTTCTTAGAGGAGCATAGAAGACTCAAGGACTCTAAGGAGCTTCACCAAGAAGCTCCCTATCTGCCTTCCCTGGCCGAGCAAAACCTGCATCCAGGTGCTCTCGGCTTGATTTGCAGGCAGCATGAAAGGTCAGAGAGTATGTTCCAAGCAGGTAGGATGGTCAGACAGAGTCCGCCCCACAAGAGTTGTTTACTGCTTCTATAGTGTTAAGGAGAAGCATTAGAATTTTGTAAATTTGAACTCTCTAGGACTTGAATGGTTGTTTTCTTCCTGAGTATATAGGATTCCCCAGGCTTTCCTGGAGGGAATGTTTCTAGTCAAAGGAAATGGCTTCACAACAGACATACAGCTTTAGACTTAGCCTTTATGCTAAAACTCTCAGCCTCTGTGGTTACTGTTTGTCCTTCAGAATCTGGCTTTTGCTGTCTTCCTCCAGGTGTGCCTTGCCTTCACCATCTCTTCTGATGTTACTTTATAGATAGGTTTAAATCTCCAGACTGCTATGGACCTACTGGTTGACCTCCCTATTCTTGTTCTTCCTCAGTATTAGGAAGACTATCAGAGAAACCATGCATAAGTTCATCTTAGTGTTTTATGTATTTTCCATTTAAATTGCTTATTTCACTTTTTGAGACAGAGTTTCTTTGAAGTTCCGGCTGGCATGGAACTTGCTGTGTAGCCCAGATTGACCTTATTCTCATGGAGATCTGCCTGTATCTGCCTCTCCCTCAAGTGCTGGAAGTAAAATAATGTGCCACCCCACTTAGACTCAAATTATTTTTTAAATGAGTTCTCAAATTGTTAGAGTAGTATAAAAGCCCATAAGATTAACTCGTCAAAACTATAAAATCTCTAGTCTACCTGTTAGAAGACCCTCCTTTCCAGTTTCACAGGTCAATCACCTGGCCAGAGGACTATCCCTAGGAAGGGAGGTTCACCTTAAGTCATACCAAATAGATGGGCAGAATACCTGGTGTATTAATGAGATAGTGAACTTTTCCCGCCTGGAATTCCTCCTCCTAATGCAGTGCTTCTGGGTCTGGTCGCAGACTCGAAGCTCTCTGTAAATCTTCCTGCTTCTCTGAGTTCTTCAGAAAAGTGTAATTGCTCTCCTTTTTTGTCTTCATATCCTTTTTCTAAACATTTACTTTCTCTAGCACTTTGGGTTGCCCCAGCATCTTGTATTTCTTTACTTTTTCTCTGAAACTTCTTGTCCCTGCCATGTGAATGTCGGTGTCCTATGTGTCTGACCTCCTTGAATGCTCTAAACCTGCACGGCTCCCTCTGCCCTCCATCCTCCTCCTTAAGGCAGCTGCTGAGATTCTAAGCTTGCCTGCCCTGAGGATTTTTATTTAAATCCTAACATTTTCCTAAAGCTTCCGTTTGGATCCATTCTTAAATTGTTTTGTGAATGAGACTGAGAACCCACTAGAGGATGCTTTTTCTCCACCTTATCAAAATGAGCAGATGTAAAATCTTACTAGGAAAAATATCTAAACATTTTTAAAGTTATACTTCCAAATTAGAAACATTTTTGTCATAGAATTACAGAATAAATATCCTGACCCTATATGTTAACCTGATACCATCTACTTTGCTGTCCTTAAAAATATTAGCAATGCACTTGTGTACTTATTTCTGTGGATGCAAAAGCACAACTATCATCTCAAAAAGGATAATACATAGTTTATTCTGGAGCTAAATATGAGCGCCCATGGCCAGGGAAACACAGATTTAGATCACCCCATATTCCACATTCCAATGTGGAAGCAGCTTCATGGCATTTTTATAGCAACAAAAGAAAGTCATATATCAAAATGTTTTTCAAAAATACTGGTGGAAACATGAAACAAGCAATTATATCAAAAGAGAAAATTACTGCAAATCTCAGATGCTATCTGATGACATGCAGACTTTTGGTTGGTGAGAGCTAGGGGTTTGTTTATTAATACTTCTAAAATATTTTTATCTGTTAGTAACAGGATGTTCGTCAGAAAGAAAAGTAGGCAACGAGTGGTTATTTAGGGGGCTGAAGAGGGCCTAAGATGAATGATAATTGGGCTCTATACCTGCAATATTCTGAATATTCTACCGTCAATGAAGTTCTAATCATTTGATGAGCCTCTGTAGAATGTTCAGTTTTAAAATGCAGGTTTTTCAGAACTTTTGTTCATACTTCTTAAGGGAAAATTTTATCTATCTCTGTCTTTCCAAAATAAAAAATTATAAAATTTGGCTGTAAGTGGTGATGCACTATGCCACTGAAACACACTTAAAAATGTTTTACATGAAATGAGAGCCTTGAACAAATATTATGTAGCAACCTCTTTAAAGCCCATTTGACATCAGCATTCCTCAGGCTGTAGATCACAGGATTAAGGGCTGGAGGCAACACAATATATATCACAGCAAACAGCCTGTCTATGATTGTTGTAGAATTAGATGATGGCTTCATATAAACAAAACAAGCAGTTACACCAAAAAGAGTAAAAACGATGAAGTGGGGAAGACAAGTGACAAAGGCTTTGGACTGACCTTTAGTGGTAGGAATCTTCAGCACAGTCGAGAAAATGTAAAAGTAAGAAATCACAACACAGATGATGCATGACATGCCTAGACACATGCCAATTCCAAAGCTTATGTAAATGACCACCAGTGTGTCAGAGCAAGAAATCCTTAGCAATGAAGGAATGTCACAGAAAAACTGTGGGATCACGTTGGAGCCACAGAAAGGCATGGAAAATGTGCCAGCTGTGTATATAGCTCCAAAGAATATACCAGTGGCCCAGGAAAAGCCTGCCATCAGCACACAGGCACCATCACTCATGATGGCCTCATAGCGCAGGGGACAGCAGATGGCTACATATCGGTCATAGGACATGGCAGTGAGGACAAACACATCTCCTGCTGAGAAAGAAGTCATTAAAAGTATCTGAAGGGCACAGCCTAGGATGGAAATGGAACTGTTGTGAGTCAGGCTATTGACAATGAAATTGGGGATCGGGACTGACACAAGGAAGACATCCAAGAGAGACAAATTTTTCAGGAAGAAGTACATGGGTGTTTGAAGCTGCAGGTCCAGGGTGATGAGAGTGATGATGATGATATTATTCATTAGGGCTGCTAGGTACATCACTAGGAAGAGCACTCCACACAAAGTCTGAATCTCCTGGACATCAGAGAACCCAACAAGGATGAACTTGGTCACAACAGTGACATTGGACATAGTGGGTTCTTTTCACTCTGTCAGGTGGTGAGAAATGAACAAAAATTGACACTGTATCAATGATTTGCACTACAAACAGAAATACTCAGTTGAAATTGAATTAGGAAACTACCTTAAATATCTGTATATTTGCATTAAATTCTTGTTTCTTTGTCCTTCCCTCTCAGCCTTGGCCCTCTCACCCATGTAGCCTTTCTCCCTTTCTCTCTCTCTCTCTTTTTCATTTCTTTCTTTTTTCCTTTCTTTCTTTCTTTCTTTCTTTCCTTCTTTCTTTCTTTTTATTTCTTTTTCTTAGAATTTCATATATTAGTACAAATACAGTACCTTGAATATGCCAATTCTCTCTCTGTCTCTCTGTCTCTCTTTCTGTCCCTCATTTGATATTTCTTTTTCCTCCCTCTCTATTTCTCTCCTAATCGAGTCTCATTTATTCTAAAAATTTTACTTATGGCTCTGTGCATGCTAAGCATGTTTTTATACGACTGACCTATACTATATTTTTAAATTAACAGCATTTAGCATGAATATGTGATGTCAATTGAACATATTTTATGTTATCAATATGATTACAATAAATTTAGGTAGAAATTTCATGGTTTGAGGGTGAACTTTTTTCCATTTAATAGTAATGAACTGTTCTTTTATGACTATTGAGTATATCATTTATCTAGGAAAAGGATTTTGAATGTGTGAACAATAAAGGCATCATAGATGACTAAGAAAATAGGCATAAAATTATGTCAATCATTACATAATTTGAGTGTGTTTCAAAAGATTGTATTACCTATATCATGTACAATTATTATTTAACAATATGAATAAATAAGTGAAAAATACAGAAAGGAAAAATACAAAATATGTGAAAATAAAATATCAGAATTTCATTTAATCTTGTCAACACAATCTTACCTCTATATAAGATGATTATGACTTTGAAAAGAAGGAATTCAGCTAATTTACTGAACATTTCTATCAACTGGTTTTGCAATAAGTTTCATTGAAAATCTTTAGGAAAAACCACGAGAGATATTTAGGGCCTATTTTTTCCCTAAAAGTGTTGCTAATGGCCAACAGGTAACTAACAGCAGGATAAAAACTTGGGATGTGTCCTTTTATTTTGTTTCTGATCAATTGTATTAAACTTTGAGTCAAAGTGTTGACAACTGTGAACACAGGCATAGTTATCCTGTAAGGAGTGTTTATCTCAAGCCTGTAACCATGTCTCTCCAAGGCTGAAGAAAGCACGATAAAAGTAGCTAGGATATTTTCATTTTTATTACCTGCCCCATTTTACAGATTCCCATTCAGGACTAATGGAGTCTTTATTCTGTGCCCTAAACCTGTCCTGAAGGATAGAGCCTTGTAGGCAGAACTCCATGGTGAAATCGACATCCCCTTTTGATGATCTTCTTAAGCAGTGATCATCAAATAGGTAACAAATTCCTCATCCCCTTTCAAATCACAAAAATTACAGATAAACATCCTGCAATGTAAATGAAAATTATTCCTCTCAACAATAGCAGTTTCTTTAGATTAGGTTCACACTGCCTCTCCTTGCTGTGTCAAAGGTAATTTCTTTGAAGGTGTTAAGAATCTTTTAAATCAGAATTGAGATTAAAACCAACCAGATACATCTACTCCACCCTTAACCCCCTCCACTGGATTTCATGCATTCTGTCATATATGTTAAGGCCTATCAGGTCATGTTTTTGCATGTGTATGACCCTCCACTGGAGTCTAGCCAGCCTACCTAAAGTCTTTCTCTTAAAGCAGACCAACTTTCCCTCACCCAGCAGTAGTCATTTGCTAATGTTTCCTCAGATAAGGTTGGGACCTACTGTGAATTTCCCCAGTTCCATGCTGGCTTTTTGTCTAATTGAGTGTGCATGGGTCTTGTGCATGCTGTCACCATTGCTGAAAGTTCATGTGAGCAAGCTCCCAGATGCATGGAAGGCTGTTTTCTTATGCTCATGAACCAAACCTGGCATGTACAAAGTATAGCATTATGAACATAGCCAAATACACAAGGAAAAAGAGGTTATAGGTCCTCGAGAAGACCATATCTCTGTCATACCCCTAAAACAAATGTAATTTCATATTTTAGGCTAAATATTGATCTTCATATTTATAGACAATTATATCATTCACCACTATAAAAAACTACCTATTGCAACAGATGGACTCTATTACAGAGTACTAGAACTGGTTATACACAGAGAATATGTGCATGAGTGATACACAGCCCTTTGTGATACATCTACAGTGGAACATCTACACTTAAGGCTCATGGAATGTAGCAAAACTGGGGTAAAGTGAATACTAATGCACCCCTCCACTCTCAAAAGTAAATATTCCTCATGCAGCATAGGGCAGTGAACACAGAAGGCCACAACTGGCCAAGTTGTGGTGAATGAGAGGCTGCAGAGTATGTGTCCATGGAGGGGACTCCTATTTTAAACCTTACCCAACCAGGGCTCAGGGCTCATTGTTGAAGAGAATGGCTCTTACATTTTCATCCCTTTATAATTTTGGAGATCTTCTTAGTAATTTCCAATGCAGTGATATTGATTACATTCTCCTCCTGACTTTCACCTTTATGTTTTATGGTTGATTTCTGTAAAGATCTATAATTCCTAACTCCTTGGGACTCCCTAAAGCTGAGCTTCCCATGGCATAGGATTCCCATAAGCTAACCACAGTAAAAATTCACCTTTTAAAAAAAATATTTCTCCTTATCACATCATATTGACTGTAATTCATATTTCAGAATTAACTAATATGTTCTAATATATTCTTTTATATGTTCAAGCTATATTTATACATCATTGGTTATGAAGACAAGTTATACTTTATTGAAAAAAAAGTCATGTGTTTCATATATTGAACCAAGTGATATGTAACAAAGTGTAGATTTTTTTCAGAGTAAGAACTTATTCTCCACTAGAGGAGTCAAAATATAAACACTTGAAAATAATCTGAACAACAAAATCTCACAGATGCTGCCACATTTTAGGCCATAAATCTCTGGGATTAGAGGTTAGCTAGGTGACTGTATAAGGTTAAGGACTTTCAGGATGTTCATACAAAAATGGTAGGATGAATGTACTAGATAAATATGCATGAGAAAACAGTTTTGAAAGCATATTTTTAATGTAAAATAAAGGTGAATCACATTTGGATTATTTGGGGTAAAGCAGTCTGTGGTAAACTGGAGAATGTGAGGTAGAGGGGTGAGAACTTAATGACAAGTCAGTCCACCCCAACCATCAGGCTTTAGAAGTAGAGAAAGAAGGCAAAAAGTGGGAAGAAGGGTGAAGCAGTCAATATTAATTACATTGCTTTTGGTTTCTGCCCTGATTTCTTCAATATCAATTATGTATAAAATTTTTTGTTTTAAAAAGTGTAGTTAGCCGGTTGTGGTGGAGCATGCCTTTAATTCCAGCACTTGGGAGGCACAGGCAGGCAGATCTCTGTGAGTTTGAAGCCAGCCTGGTCTACATAGTGAGTTCCAGGGGAGCTGGGGCTACCAGGAGACCCTGTCTCAAAAAGACCAAAATCAAAAAAAAAGTGTAGTTAAACTTTTTACCAAAAGATATTTTACCAATTTGAAATTCATACCTTAAAATAATTCAGATACTTTAACTTTCTAGGAAAAGGATCACATATCACATATGTAGAAAGATTTTCCAACAGCTTCACTTAAGGAAAGTCTCATACACCATCAGTGTTTAATTTAGTGGCTGATCACCTGAAAGTAACATAGAACATCTCTTTTTTGTAAATTCTACATTCATGACATACAGTTACATATTTAGGCTTCTGATAAGGCTCAAAGTTCTGTGCTAAACTCTTGTCATTTGTTTACATAGAAGAATGTAAATATAAAGAACAAGGAAAATATTTACCTTTTCATAAAGTTTGATTTTATATCAGTCGAGACATAATAGAACCATTGGTCTCTAATAGATCTTTTTAAGGCACTTGGCTACTACCTTGGGATTCTTCAAAGGAAAATGTTTTTTTTGGACATCCTTCCTTATTATCCTAGATATCTCTTCAGACAATTATTGGTATAATAATTGGTGCTTTATATAGACTGGATTGTTTAGTGCCAAGAAAACACAGTGGAATAGATAATGAAAAAACATGCCCATGTTTTTCAGAAATAAATTCATTATACATTCTCTTTTTTAAATTTTTTTTATTATTTTTATTTTATGTGTATGTATGTATTGCCTGCATGTAGGTAAGTGCACCCATGTCGTTCAGTGCCCATGGAGGTCAGAAGAGGCTGTCGGAGCCCTTGGGACTGGAGTTACAGACAGTTGTTGCTGCCATGTGGGTGCTGGGATTCGAACCTGGGTCTTCTGCAAGAACAGCCAGTGTTCTTAACCTCTGAGCCATCTCTCCAGCCCCACATTCTCTTTTTTAAACACAGCATAGAGCTGTAGATAATGTTATAATTGTAAGGAAATGTTACAATTTATAAAATCTGAGAACTTTTCTTAATGACTCTTGCCATGTACTCCTTTATTAATTACCTTTGTTTTCTGTTGTAGAACACCTGAAAATAACCCATTTAAAGATGAATGATTGATTTTGACACATAGTGTGAAAGTAGAGTTCATCATAGCAGTGACAGTGGTGGCTCCAAGAGTTCTGTGGTCCTTGGTAAGAGTGCTGTCTGACAAAGTTCCAGCTGAAAGCCGATGGCCACTGCTCTTTGGTGGAAATCCCTCCCCCAATTACTCCTGGCTTTTGTAATTTGTATAACCTTCTCTTTTTTAAGTATTCTGATACCCAACTCTGATGATGGAATGGGAAACTAAACTGGGGATATCTCTGCCTTTAGCAGAATTATCATGTTACTGAAACAAAACAAAAGTAAAAAGATAGATGACTTCCTCCTAGGACTATGACCCCACTTGTGATTAATAATGATGCTTGGTTTCTGCCAAAAGGAAAAGACAGCATACAATCTCTAGATGCCTTGCTGCCTT